AGAAAACAGGCACTGCTAAAAAAAAACATTTTTAAAAGGTAATCTTTAGAAACATATTAACGGGCAGAAGTATTGGCGCATAAAAAATAACTATAAATTGGTTTTCAAAGTTAACTATGCAAAAATTATGTAAATATGCTCTGACTGGAAGCAGAATTATTTCTCAGTCCTAAAATCATAACACAAGAAGATTAACCGGGCAACCATTTTAGGGGGCGGGGGAATGTTTATTAGGTCCTGACTTTAAGGGTATTGGAATCCTATGCAGAGAACCCCTTGGAGAATAAGAAGTCCTCATGAATGAGAAAGGCATGACAAAATATGCAGCAGAACATGGCTCAGGCTGTAGTTTTGTCCACACTTCCTTGTCACAATATTTTTTTCTCTTCAAACAATATAAAGCTTCTTTAAATTTCACCGCATCAGCTATGAAGCAATTATTACACAGATGTACAAATGTAACTACAACTGGAATAATCACATTTCAATCTACAGCTCCGCTGGCATGAGATATCCATCTCCAATATATCATGCTACATTAGCAAAGATAGATGCTGATATTTGAAAGAGCAATCAGAAAACTAAACCAAGCTATAGACACAGTTGAATTAAAATTCTTAATAAATATGTAGTGCATTATTAGGACTAGCAAACTTTAAAAACCAAGATGAGATGTTTAGATGCTCCAAATTCCATCAATGTAGTTAAGGTTTTTATGTCCAGGTTATTTCATTAATAATGTTCAATTATTTTTTATTTATTGAAAACACCAGCCAAGGAGAAAAGTGTACCTATAGGCAAAGGGTTGAGCTCCAAAGTAACTAAATCTTTAAGCTGTTTTTTTGTGTGACTTTAAGGTTTCTCATTACAAAGAATAACATGATAATTGCTTACCTACTATAAACATTATAAAATGTTTGTTCTTAGTAGCCTTGCAAATTAGAGTGCAAATCCTGCTCTCTGAAAAATAGCAAAATCTGTGGTTGCTAAATTGTTTTGCAGGTCAAATCTAGCCAGTGACAAAGCCAGTTTAATCTCTTATTTAAAATAATAAAAAATATCTAGATTTCCGGTAAACATACCATATGTATTATGTTCCCATTTATTTCATTCTAAGTGTTAACACTAACTATGGTTTAAAAAAAAATACCGGTAATTCCCATACATTGCTTTTATGCAAATATATAATATGCAACTATGGTTATTTAGTAATAGCTAAATGTGGATATTCTCGCTATACATTAGATTCAAGGAACTAAAGAACTAAGAATGATATGCATTTTTTCTTTTTTTTAAAGCAATTGTTAGACTTTTTTCCATATAGAACAAATTGGTAACTAACCTTGACCACATTTTGACAAACATATTACCTTTTATTTAAAAAATTCTAGCTATAGAACTTCAGACAATAAAATGGAAGCATAGGACATTCCATATGAGACATAATTCTAGCCAATTAAAAACATTTTAAAATATGTCCAATATGTTTAATTATGATGCAGGTTTTTAGCAATAAGACTGACTACAGGACTATATATGATAGCGGAGATGGCACATAAACTGTCACTTAATACAATTCCAAGTAATTTTTATTTTGATTAGTTCAGTGACAGAGTTTCTACCTGGAATGAGAAAAATTTTCAGTTTAATACTTAGAATTTGCAGACAGATTTGTAGAAAGAGTCTAGATGGTGCTGACATTACTAAGTTAGAAGAGGCAACAATCGGAATGTCCTATAATGTGTTTTGTTAAATTTCATATAACAAAACTGAATGAGTAGCACAAAGTATTAGACATTACTGTTACATTCTTTAACATCGATGATATATTAACCAGCATTGAAAATATTTACATAGAAATTATGCCATTCTGCAGCACAGTATTTGAACAAGCTGCTATTCCAATAGTTGACCCAGGTGGGTTGGTCATCCACCGTATACAAACATTTTTTTAATCAAAGGGCTGTATTAAAGCAGCTTCAAAGGCAGCTTCCCATGAATCCAAAAGCTGTACAATTATCTAAACCAGTTTAAAAAAATATCTAAAATGATAATAGAATTCAACATCTAAAGAAAAGGATTGTTTACAAGAGTCTGCTCACCTGTGAATCTTTTTCCGTTTACTCTGCTTGTCTTATGTACAACTTTTTATCAGTCCTACTAAGCCCAGAATTTACTGCAGGAAATTATTACTCTATGCTGTTCCTGCCTGTTAGTCCTCAGAGCCCTTGGGAATGAACAGCATGCAAATACAGTGATGCATATACATGATTTGGGAAACCTCCCGATTTGTTATATTTTCTCTTACCACACCCATATAAAGTCACATTTTAAATAATGCTGTAAAAGGCAAAGTTTCCATACATTATTAACCTGGAGGTTTTCCAAACAGATCATGTAAGGAAGAAATGAAAGTACATTTTTAGCATGAAGTATTTACTGGATGTTTAACTGTTCCAAAAGCAGCAGTGGACACAAGCTGTATTCATTCATGCATATGGACTTGCATTGGCCTTTGACAACATCGTTCAAGACCCCTTCTCTTCTCCTGTTGATGTTTCACAAGGGTTCCCCCTCCCCTTTTCAGGATTTCTTAATGAGGCCTCTTCTAAATGCTGAAAGCAAGCAAAGCTAAGCCCATGCTGGGTGTCTGTCTCTCAGAGAAGATTGCATCTTTTATTTATCACCTCTTGGCTTTATTTTCACAGTGAATTCCAAGCTTAAATGTAATCAGCCAAGAAACCCTCGCTACATACACTACTGTCATTTCTCATCCCTTACAAGTGGAGTCAAGCAGGGAAGGGAGGGGGGAGTTCTCAGCAAGACCAGCCAAACCAGAAGAGGCTCTGTTCTAGTGGTGGCACCACAAATGGAGAGGTGCCTCCAACTTCTGCTAGAGGGATAGATACAGAAGTCTTGAGGAATGTTAATTAGAACTTAGAGGAGTGCCCAAAGCTAAACCATTCGTAGCAAAAGCAGAAAGGCAATGAGGAGAATGAGGTCTGCCTTACAGTTCAACAATTCCATTTTGACTCAGGCTGGCCTTAACCTTTTAGCTTGGATACAGATATGAATCCCATAGTAACACAGATGGCAATTTTAACTGAAATAGCCACATGTTTAAATACCAAGAAAACACAAATCTTACATAGGAAAGCCTGAATGGTCTCTCCCCCCCCCCCAAAAAAAAATCACTTCTATGTAGCGGATGGTTAGAAAGTGGGGAAGAAGAAACCCACAAAACTCATAGATTGCATTTATATTTCCAAGAGAGGAAACTGAGCAAATCTGTGCAGAGGACAAATAGAGTTGTGCAGCTTTAACATCTCCAGATTGCCTTTCCCATTGTCAGCTCCTTGCTATTTTGCAGACACTGAAAAGCAATGAAAGAAGCTCTTTTGTTTGGCTTCCTCTTTTCATGGAGAGAGAGAGAAAAAATCTCTCTAAAAGGACTCAAACATGAAAATGAAGGATGCTAGTTTCTTCAGGGGGGAATTTCCAACAAGCCATCACAGATGTACTGACCAAATATAACTCTCTTGAAAAATCAACAATAAAAAAGGCTGAGCACCATAGAGAGCCTCGCCTCACCCTGAGCAGGAAGTTTTAAAAAGAGAACCATCTATCCATTTTGCCCTTCGAGCAGAGGCAATCCAAACATAAGAGAAAGGGAAGTCATCTTACAGCCCCTTAGCTAGCACCCCTTTCACTGGAAGAAGTAGCCACTCCCCACCTTCACCTCCTTGAAGGGCAGAAATAGGATGGAAATCCACCTCCAAAGTTCCATGACTGAAAGAAAGCAAGGAGTTAAAAGAGGAATGGAAAAACAGCCCAAGCACCACAGGAGGAAAGTATTATTTCATGAAGGAATCAGCAGAGTCTCGCCTGCTCTGCAGCAAGATAGAATGAGAGAAAAAGAAACCAACTACATCCTGGATCTATTTGGCAGCCCTTGAAACAGGCTTTGCCTTCCTGCACAACAGTTTCTCCTTGGCAGCCCATTTTCCCCGCCCCTGCATCGCAGACAGACTTTCGTTGTTTCATCAGCAATCTGACAGCTTTATGACCCAATGACCTACCCTCACTGCCATCGATAACAAACAAACAAAAAAAAAAACCCTGGAGATGCAGGCTGGACACAAAAGCACTCTAGGACTCTGTGCCAAACCAAGGCTAGATGTTATTTCCTTCTCAAGTGCTGCTGTCCTAGAAATGTCTTTGTTTAAAGGCTCACAGCCTCTCCTGGCAAATCCCAAAGACACTCTTCCCTCTCTCCCTCCCTCCTTCCCTGCCAAGCTTCCCAGAGGATTCTCCTGCTGATTCATTGCCATTCATACTCTTTGATATTTGGGGGAGGAAAATGAAGAGAAGAAAGGGGAAAAAAATAAAAGTAACAGTTATGGGTCTTTGTAGGGATGGAGGGATATTGTATAGGATAAAAGATGGGAAATGTGAGGTTCTGGAAGGTGCTGGGACAGCAAAAAAAAAAAAAAGCTACTGGCATAGGATTAGAATGTTCTTGGATAATATGCCTTATAAAGTATTTCCCAAGAAATATGAGGGCGGTTGCTTGATTGGGTGCAAAGAGACAAATTGGAATTACGTGGAGGAGCCTGAAGACAGGAGATTTAAAGGAGGAGAAGCTGCCGGGAGGGGGAGGGCCGGTGCGGGGAGAAGGAAGGTGCCCGGCCAGGCTGTATTCTTAGGGAACTGACGGAGGGAACGAGAATAAAGAAAACTTAAAGAGGATAAAAGGTTCACGGGGAGGTTTCGGGCGGCTGGAAACAAGGGAAGGGCGCCCGACCGTACAGGTGAAGGAGCCAAGAGAGTCCGCCTGAAGAATGCGGGAGGGAGGGAGGGACTCCGACGAGACCGTGACCCGAAGCCCTGGGACGGGAAGCAAAGGGGGGAGTGGAGGGGGAAGGAGGGGGGGGGGGGAGAGAAACGATGGCATCAACCTCCCGTCGCCGCTTCCACCCACCGTTGCCCGAATGACTCACCGACTTGCAGGACGTTGTCGACGCAACCGCCGTCGAGCAAAGCGATGCCCCTGCGGAAGGGCAGGCGGTTCTCGTCGGCAGCGGGGTCCGTCCCGCCACCGCCGCCGCCGCCGGGCGAGGCGTTGTTGGTCCCCCCGCTCCCGCCACTGTTGTTGGAGACAGCGCTGGCGAGAGAGGCGCCACCGCCGGCGGTACCCGTGGAAGCTACGGAGGCGGCTCCTCCGCCCGAGGAAGCGGCTGAGACGCCGCCGGCGGAGGAGTCCTCGGCGGCGGCGCCGGTGTTGAAGGAAGAATACATGCAGATCTCT